GTGAAGAAGTACGAAGCACTGCATACTGGTAACTTCATCGCCGAACTGAGGGGTCTCCCAGTTAAGGCCGCACTTGATGAGCATTTTCTTGAGACCATTTGAGCTAATTTCTCTCTCTTGTCCGACTTCCAGCGGTGGCGCTGATTCAACTTCCTCGCCGGCCTCTTCTTCTTCGTCGTCGTCTTCGAAGTCCTTAACATTGACTTTCGAAAACTCGACCATTTCCGATTTTGCTTCAGAAATTGTAATCGGGAATGAGTTCGTGATGAGAATTTTTCGATTATCTCTTGATTTTTCACCTTGGTCCTTATGCTGTTTCCAGAAGAATCTTGAAACTCTGTTGAATTGCCCGAGATTTGACCTATCACATTACCTGTCCGAGACGGGGTGGAAGCCGTCCTTATCGATAATTTTTCGATAAACGGGTGGAAGCCGTCCGAGACTGTCCGAGATTTGACCTATCCAAGTACCTGTCCCGGTTGTTTGAACCGGTCCAGGACGAGGCCTCGTCCCAAACGGATCGATAACAATCAAGACCGGGACAAAATGGTTCAGGACTCCGAAACAAAACGGGAAAAAAAAGTGTTCAAACTTCAAACTATTCATTGTTCTACTTAAAAAAGAACTTTGATTTCATAGTATGTTTCCATTCAAACTAATTAAGGTGCAATCATGCAACCAACTTCATTCAAAAAAGTAAAAACAAAACTACTGATAGTTGAAAATTAACATAACATACTTCAAAAGTGAAAATTAACTAATTTCATTCAAAGCTTCAAGCTTGCAACCTACTAACCAAACATTCAAATCCGCAACCATTCCAAATCCAAAGTTCACTTACAGTGTTACACTCTTACACTAAATAGTAAATTAAACATTGTCTTAAAACAAAAGGGTACAACTATTGAAGTACTGATTTCTGATTTCTGATTTCACAAACATGAACCATACTTCAAAATTCAAATTGAAAGCTAAGCATACTAATTCCAATAAATAATCATCATAACTACCATCTTCAAAACGCATGGAGGGGTGCCTGCAGTGCAAATTAACAGCACCCTCACCTGTGTGCTTTTATTACCATTGGATTTAAAAAATAACGTAATATTTGGGTGTGAATTATGATCCAATGGTATTAAAACACACAGCACCCTCGTGCTGTTAAGTTTGCACCGTAGGCACCCCCTATCCCTTCAAAACCATGATCTTCATTTTCCAAGCTTTCCACATCAAACACATTATTCCCAGCAGCCATTTGTGCATTGTACAACTCTACAAAATGGAAAACAAAGTGAATTATTACTTTATAGTTTAAAGGAACAATAATCAATGTCTGAAACTAAAAATAAATTATAAAAGCAATAATCAAATTATGAAACTGAAAGAAATCAAGAATGAAACTGAAAAAGTATATAGTACCTGTCTCAATATTTTCATAGAATTCTAACTCTTGAGTTGAAGGTTCATTCTCAAAGTCCATGACTATATCATCTCCTCTAAGCCAATTTTGCATGCAAATCAAGGCCTCCACAGATTTAGGAGTTAATGAACTCCTAAATGAATCAATTACTCTCCCTCATGTGCTAAAAGCACTCTCAGAAGCAATTGTTGATACTTGAATAGCAAAAATATCTTTGGCAAGTGTAGAGAGAACTGGATAAGAGGAGGGTGCATTTTTTCACCATATCAAAGGATTTGTATTTCTCTATCACATCCTCAACACCAAGATCATCACCTTTTTTTATCCTTAATGACTAACAAAAGATCTTTCAGATATGCATCAATCTCATGCTCTATTGTTGCCTCATCAGTTTCTGTGACATGTTTGGTCCAATCAACAACATATTTCAAGTTGTTGTTGCCTATATTAACCTTACTCCCAACATTGGAATCACTTTCTTTCATTTTTTGCCTCTTCATATTGTTGTTGTTGCTGCTACTCACTGACTCTACACTTCTTTTATTCATACTTTTATCATTTTGTGCATTATACTCTTCAAACAACTCAAACAATAGTGCTTTGATATCTTTTCCCTTCTTCTCAACCTCATAATCACTCCACATCAGCTCAACAGGCAATAATATAGTGACACTACAACAAAATTGCCTATTGGGACACTGAAAATGGTCCCGCATTACTATATATCAGGACACTTCTACCTATTGGGATATTTAGCATAAGTGTCTCATGTAGTGGTGTTGCATAACGTTTCGGGACACTTTTTTGAGGCACTTAAAATGTCACATTATTTATCTTTATAAGACACTTGTACGCGTCTCCAGACGTTTTCACAATACATTTAAGTGTCTTAAAATGGTTTTGTAAATAAGATAATAATATCTCTTGGGTCACTCTAAGGCCTCATTTACTTTTAAGGATTTGGATAGGATTTTACAGTTTCCATTGTTTACTATCGCAGATTGGGACAAGATTTAACTGACGGGGCACCCACGTGGCATTGTGTTGTGGAGCAGAAATCCTCAATTGGTCGATTAATTTCATCCCTTGTTGGACATTGGATTTTACAATCATGTACTGTGGCTCCCTTTTTTGCCCTCGAAAATGCCTACAAAATGGCAGCGAGACCCCTATGTTTCACCTTAATTACGAATATGCCAACATAAAAAGCTTTCACATCCCAAAGAATAACCCTAACTGCGGACGAGTGCCCCTTCCCTTTTCCATCGTAGCTGCGCGCATCCAGGAGAATTTTTTTTCAAGGGTGTGAAAGGTGCTTTCGATTTCTTTAATCTGTTTATTTCTTATTATCTTTCATCCCGTGGTGACCGTGAAGAACCCTAATTTGTGACATTTTTTTTTCATGGATGACGTTTTCTGGTGACCGTGAAGAACCCTAATTTGTGCGGGTAGTTGCTAGGCGACGTTGGGACAAATCAAATTGTTTGTTTGAGGTAGGCCCTTTCATCTCGTCATCCGAAATTCTTAAAACATTTTTTTATTATTTTCCATTTCTGGTGTGTTCTTGCGTAAACTGAATTTTGTTTCGGCTGTCATTGGCTAATAGAGTTTTAATAGCTTTCAACTGTGTAACGCTTACTAATGTGGGGCAGTTTATTATCCTTGTAGCATAATTTATTGTGTTTTTTCTTTTGAGTTCACATACAACTAGTTAAAACTGGGATATTGGAACATGGATTGGCATATTATCATGTCTACTGCATTGTGCTTTTTTTCTCATTGTGGTTGTGCATTATTTGTTTAATTCCATTTCATTTCTGAAGGAGGTGGTTCAATGTGTTTCCTGTGTTTTTTGGTCAATAATTTATTGTGTTTTATCTTTGGATGTTTAGTTTGTTAATCCAATGTTATGGTTTTGTATGTACTTTTTTGTACAAGAAAATTGTTGGTTCTTGAATTTTGGATTGGTATTATATATCCATTTCATATATGAAGTTATATTTGAATGCTTGTTAGGAGTTTATTTATGATTTGGTCCACATGTCGTTGTAAGTGGTAATTCCATGAACCAGAAGGGTAGACGAAAAGATATTATCAAGTTAAGATGTATTTTCATTTATAACTTTCTTGCATAGTGAGACTGATTACTTCATTGTTTAAGGTAGTTGTTTGTCATTGAAGCATAGTATTAACATCTTAGACAAATGATAATGATAAGAGGAGCATTAGTTATTTGAACCTTTACCTTGTTATGTTGAATTTTCTTACTACTTGTTCCCTGGTTTAGGGTAATTTGATTTATTGCCTATTGTGTGCTGGATCTGCCTGTTGATTGAGCCTTGTTTTTTGGCCTTCATTGGGCAAGGTTCCTGTTTGACATTGAATACTAGTATGGCTTAGACAAATACTTTTCTTTCAATTTGTGTGATTAATATGCATTTTATTGTGGTAAAGTCAATTGTAAATTGTTCCTGTCAAAGTTATGACTTTTTTAAGCTGGAGTTTAATTTTTCCAAATCACATCAGTCAGAGTAAACAAGGCCTTAGTGAATACCATGTTCAGATTGCATACTATGTATTTTTATTGTAATTTCTTTTCTTATGCCACACATTGCAACAAATCTCATTGTTGAGCATACTCAGTTTGTTCTTAAGATGTTGAGTTATGGAAATGGACTTATAACTTTATTCAGCATGCTGTGATGAAGTTATGTGGTATGTTACTATTTTTCTAATATTGGATTTGTTGAGTTGTACAAGGGAACAATATTACGGGTTAGGTAAATTTATGTTAGTTGTTTCATTTTGTTCAATTGCTGCCTATTTCAGGTCATATATATTGGAATCAACTATTCCAGGTCATATAAATTGAAATCTTGCAAATACCCAACATAAGTTTCAAGCAGTACATATTTTATATATCTTGATAAAATTTACCAACTTATATAATAATAACAAGAATCATGAGACTGGAAAATATTCTAGCTTTGAAGGCAGAGGCTACTTGGTAGTAACTAATGTGTTATATTATTATTTCCTTGCTATTTTTCTGTTTTGAGGCAATCATACATTAGCGGCCTAACTTACATACCTAGTTTGTGCTTTCTGAGTTCCTATACATGTATATTTCTCCTTTGACACTAATCCTCAGCTTAACTAGCATATTATCAAATCAAGAAATTAGGTTTTAATAATATCATCAAATTTTCAACATCTTTCTCAAGGTTTGGATCAGGTTATACATCCAAGTTTAAATTTTGTTTTGTTATTCCAATTTTAATTATCATCATTATTAGTAACAACACAGGGAAGTCTGACAAAGAAGACACATTTACTCATTATTATTTGTTCTAGGGTAAATAATTTTTTCCAACCTGTACTATACGTGCTTTTGGGATTTTTTTTTTTTTTTTTT